CATCTTCTTATGCGTATCAGAGACACCCTTCGCTCGATCCATTACCAGGTCTCTCATATTTTCCGGGAGGGGAACCGGCTTGCCGATTTCCTTGCTAGCACGGGGGCATCTATACCCCAGAGACGCACCCTCCTTCCTGAGGACATTCCCCTCCGGCTTCGGACGCTCATTCGGATGGACCAGTTAGAGTACCCATCCTTCAGAGTCGGTCGACCGCCACCTCCTGCCCCTGACTAGATTCGGCCGACCTCTTATGAGGATTCGATTTTAGACTCACATTGCATATTTTTGTGACCTTTGTAGTTTTATTTTTTGTTTTATTTTTAGTTTTTTATTTTTCTTTTTATTTTATATTTTCTCTGCTTTTGTTGTTGTTCCATGTATTTCTGACTTGGATGTAGACGATTGACTTTCTTAGCCCTAGCTGGGCCTTATATTCACAGGTCGGGAGTGTAGCCTCAACCCCCCATCCCAATCTGGGATGTTTATATATATAAAAAAAAAAACATAGCTATTATTCTGGTAGGAGAAACACAATAAGAAATGTTACAAAAAGTATTTCATGGAAAGAAACAAACGCATCAGAATATAATCAGGCTTGGCACTGGGTGACCTAACTGATTAAAAAATTCAATAGTAAAACATCAACAGACCTAAAGAATCTGATTTGGAGAGTTTATCAGAGCAGATTTTGAGGTTTCGCTTGGATAAGGCGAGGGCTCTGTTGAATTCGATTCTTTGCTTGTGGTCTGAGAAAATAGCAGCTGTTGACGATGATGAAAGAGGGCCATCAGAAGCCGCAGAGCAGGTCTTAAGACACTTCGCCGCAGCCGGCCGCTGTAAGAAATCCATTAGGGTTTTGGAAGGAGCTGCCACTGATTCCTCTTTGATTCCTTCAGCTATCTATGGCGGGAATAACTCGCTATATTAAGAAGAACCCAACAAAAATACAGATATTATGCTCCAAAAACTTTGATACAATTCCATAATTGTATCCACTCACATTCTAGCAGCTCTTGGCAGCAAGTTTTTCCTTTGCTTTTTGAATCTTCAATACCTTCTCATTATTTTATATTCCTCTACCAACAACGCCCTATTGATCCTCTCACACCAACAGACAACACTCTACCATAAGGATGATTCACAATCCTGATCAAGTTAAAAGGATGAATGCACATAAGACACCGTCGTTTAGATATCTCAGAGAAAAAAAAAATTGATCAATCCAACAAATGAGGAGCACATTGACTCCCTATTCTAAGCAATCCAGTGATGAAAGGGAGAATCTGATGAAAATTGGATGTTCTCTCTTATTCCAGTCTAACCTTTAATATTTAATTAACAGTGCTCAACACAAAAACAATCACAAAAGATTACCAAACAACCAAGTAAAGTAAGTGAACATTTATGAGTTATGACCACAAATCCATGAGGAACAAGACTCATGAAAGTGCTCAGATCATAAAGAGTAACCAA